GTGTTTATTATTCTGAATATGGATGGAGCTCTTATGGGACCATCACAAAACCAACAACACACACACAAGAAGTGCAAGAGGGGCCATGTAGGAGGTGACGGTGCTGCTGTCAGTACCCAACACATCCGTTCCATTTGCATTTTTGGATTCTTCTTCCACTTGGCTCTCAGTTAAGTTTGTCCCGTTCAAAACAGTGTTTGGGGACTGTATTGCGTCTTCAGGGGCTGCTGGAGCACTTTCCCCTTGTGTATTAGTGGACGTTTCATTCCCAGTATTTGCCACGCCACCGCTTACTTCCGGATTGGTGCTCGAGTTGTTCTGATCTTTGTTTTCCTTCTCTTCCTCCTCCTGTTTGGGCTCTTCCACCACATCCTCAGACACATTAACTACATTGTATTTAATATCGGGAAGATGATCAGTATTCCTCTCTTTCGTGCACACTTCTTCGTATTTGGGACAACGAATAATAGTTCCACTCTTGAACACTGAACCCTCCACATCATCGATAGTTACCTCGTCATCGCTGCACTTATGCCACTTATTTTCATCATAACCTTTGAGCTGTACACTCACCGTCTGCTTGTCCTTATCACACTCCACTTTTGCACAAATGCCTTGAACCTTCAGACCAGTTCCATTATTTCCATCGATTTCCACCGGTTCCGTCACATCCAGACACCGTGACATATTGCTCACAATACTTCCAGGCATCAGTGTCTCATCACCAGTCTCGCACATGGTCTGTTGAAACGGCTTAATGATGGGACACTCTTTCATCATTTCACTCTGTTCACCAACAGCTTCAAAGAACTTGTACCCATCGGGCATACCATGCGTGTTGTCGTCCTTGGAGCAGACACCAAGACCAAAGCGATCAGAGGTACACTGTAATGTGGACTCACCTTTACTTTCCTCGCACAAGATGTTAGGGAACTTCCCCAAGTCTTTTTTGATGATATCTTTGCACGTGCTTGTAAAGAGTTCACATCCAAATCCTTTCCCCCAACTCATGGGTTCTGCCATGTCGAAATCAGCTTGGTAGAAATCCATTGCATCAAATACTGCAAGCGTCAGTGCCGTGTAGAACATTCCAGTGGGTTCACCAGTGTTCTGACTCATCAACTCATCCTTTGCGATGCGCCTCTCCCACTCTGGGTGACTTGTACTGCCGTTATAACGCAAAATCATTCCCGCGTAACCTGGGCATTTGTAATACTCCACCATCTTCTTCTTCACATTGGTACTTAACACCACCTTGGTGGACCTGCTTTCGCCGTTCACATCGATTGGTAGGGTCCCAGAAAGAGAGGTGTCCACGAACTCCCCAAATCCAAGACCAAATGCAATAAAGCGTGCAGCCAAACGAATGAAATGTCTCGTGGCGTTGATCTCCTTCGGGACAAAACTGATGCGGGCAGATCTCGGTCGGTTTGGTTTTTTCTCATCATAAGTGCAAATATGATAATCTTGCCCATATGGCGAGAGACGCACGTAAAGCAAAAAATCAGCATCGGAAACACCATCCTTCAAATGCTCTTCGGGAACAAAGAACTGGTTGCAAAACTTTGCAAATATGTTTTCGGTGTTATAATAATCCTCTTTCCATAGCTTCAGTTTACCCTGCACTGGCTGCACTTTAAGACGATCCCTGTGCAATTTAATTGCTTGGGGCAGGAGGTCCTTAAAAAGAGTATGCATCCTCTTTGTTGTCATTTTATTTTCACCCTCACAGAGTTGTTTAAACTGGCTTTCAAGCTCCTTTTTCATGGCTTCAACTTCGTTGTACTCAGGGGGCATTTTTTTTGTATTGCAATAATTCATCACATCCTCCACATATTTTGTATACACAGCAAAACGGATGGGTTCCCATTTCTCACCGTTCTTATCATCAGCAGCAGGAGGAGTATCAGAGACGGTGTACGCCTGTAGAGCACTTTCTCCTTTCTGTGGTAACTGCTGCACAACAGCAGCCAAACACCCGCAGCTGCAGTACAACAGGAACAGTGCAGTCCACAGCAGATGATGCATGGAGTGTTTCTCCATTTCTTAATGGTGTGAATGTGTTTTTGTTTTTGTGTTGCTTTGCTAAGGTATACACACAGTTAAGAGAAAAAAAAACGAAAGAAAAGGGAGAGAATAAAAGGTAAGCATGAATGGATATTATATTAGATCTAGCAGATAATTAAACACATCTATACACATCAACAGTAATACTCTTAGAAAAAGAAGAATGATAGTTATGCCAAAAGTAGAATGAGAAAAGATATCAACACACCCTCTTGTGGTACACATACATACCAACAGTATCAACAACAATGCACTGTGAGCAGATTTGGTGTTTTATGGTGTTTGTAAAAAAATGCAGAGAATAACAAATAGTCATAATAATGAGTGCTGTACTGCCTTTAAACAAGTGAAAAAGACAGAAAGAACCCATGGAAAGAGTGAATGATACCATGTGTTCAGATCTGTCCTTTGTATTAGAAAAAGACTGTGTAACTCATGCTTGACTAACCTACCAAATCCACTTGATAATAATAATTTATTTTTTCTTTTTGCCCATCCATGTCAGTAGTAGAAGAGCATAATAAAAGAAAAAATACACATCAGAAGAGCCATGAAATAATAGAAGAGGGGATTATATGAAATATTCCATCAGCTACAAAAACACTCCTCTACTAATTACCATAACCACAACACATACACACAGAACACTATCTATAAGAGTACTACTCACATTTCCAAGAGAAAGTAACATGTACAACACACTCCTCAGTGATTCACTCCCTGTAGTTGTTGTTGTTTTCCCCTGTAGAATAGCAGTAATCCCATGTACATGGGGAGTTGTGTACGCCTTCTATTAATACTCTTTCAGTAGGAATGATTTTCCTTTCACCACAAGAGAGACATTCATTTCCACTTGTGTTGTAGTTATCAATAAAAGGTGTAGAACACCTCTGCACTGAGAAATAGGATTGCAATGTATCCCCCAAAGAGAGAGATTTGTTTTATTCCATTCTATCAAAATGTATTCCAACAGTTCTTCTATTGTTCTTTTTTCCCCTTTTTACTTTTTGTTACCATTGATGGGTGGCAGGATCACTGTACCACTACCACTCAATGAGTTCTCGCACCAAATAGAGATACATTCTCCTCTTCTTCTTCTCACCATGAAGAGTCAGGTATCATTTGTGCTATGGAAACTCCCATTAAGATGTGACTGGTTACTATTTCCCAAAAAATAATAAACATAACGCGATATTACAGAGATAAAGAAGGAAAGCTTAGATGGGACACAAGAAAATGTATGTTCCCATTTCTATTGAATGGGATAAAGAGTCTCATGTGTTGTACGATGCGTCCATTT